GTAGAAGGTAACGCAGCGTAAGGGTACGCACACAGTGAAGGCAGGTTGCCAGCGTGCTGGTTACCTGCTCAGGCTGGCGCCTGAAACCATATACGTAATACAAAAGCCTATTCGTACAGGTTTTCACTGTGAACACTTACATTATTATCCTATGCTCATTCATGTGTCAGGTTGGAGCAGGTTGCCCGCGCGGGCAAACCTGCTTTCACTGTGTGCGTACCCTAAGCTTGTTGACGTACACGCAATGCAAGAGTGTTGAAACATTCGCGTGTTGATATAAGTTCGTACCCATGCACATGTAGCGCCACAACTAAAGGCAGGGGCTTGTCACGCTCGCGCAAAAACTCATGCCAGCTACTAAGCAGGGTAAGCCAATGGTGGCCTGACCAGCCGCTAATTTCGTGTGTCATTTGACCCTTATATTTTTCCCATGAAACTACCCAAAATAGCTCCTATTTGGCGGCTAAATAGAAGAGGCGGCCATTTCCAATCTGATTCATCTCTAATCCGAGAGTTTCAACCGAAGCCGGAACGACAGCCGCCTCTAAATTTTGACAGGGACTGCATTCTAATCATATAATATCAAACGTTGAGTTAGAACTCCATATGGAAGAATCACAATTTTGTTTGAATGAGCTCATGTTTTTTCACTCCATGTTTATCAGCAACAACTTGTATTTTGGAGAATACAAACTGAGGAAACTTGTTAAATTGAGGAAAAATAAGGATAACGAAGTAATGCGATTCTGTGATTCAAACAACTTTGATTTAAAAATTATTTATTTAAAAATTTCATTACTTTCCGAAGGCAGATGCTGGTGGAAATTTATCGCGAATACTAAACGACTGTCAGCTATAGGCATTGCAGAGGCCGCAACGAAGACCAAACTTAAATTATTACCGTATTACGTGCCGGTGCTGTCGGAGTGCGGCTTAATTTTGCTACAAAACATCGTTTGCGTGTGGAATTCTTTCTTGGAGTTTTTGTCTCTAATTTACGTTAACTCAGAACAAACCGAGGCCGGTGCACGATTATTGAGTTCATTGAGATTAGATTTAATCGGTAAGGGTTAATATTCTATCACTGAATGCATACACATTTTGTTATGAATAACATGCGCTTGATGCGAACAAATGGATTGAAGGAGAAATTTCAGTCTCATACAATTCAATAAATCTGTAATAACACGAATTTAGACATTACGAGCTTGCTTTATCTATTATTATATGATACTCTGAGTTGCTCATGTATTTCTCCGCAAATGTGACCTGATAAATTAATATCACTGTTGACAATTTTCAATGGCTCTCTTTTACTTTAAAGTTTAAATGAAGCTGCAAGTTAATAATAACACTGTTCTTATTAGTTAAATTCGCATTAATAATTATTTAAAATGCATCCTATTCCACGAAATAATTACTAATGCGAATACGCATAGATTCAAATTGAATGAACGATTAGATAGATTCATAAAATTAAAGTAGTGATCGTGCTACTCATAAATCACTAAAATTTGTTAACCGAATAGACTGAAAATAAATCAAAATAAAACTTTTCATACAATTATTTACAAATAAATGGAAAATTTTTGTGCGTAGATGCTTGCGGCATAGATGACTTTCATTCAGATAGTGCCTAAATACATATTTTTAGATCATAATCTACTGACTTACCCCACTCTTTACTGCCTCCCATCAGTCCCATGTAATAGTCACGTAATTATTTAAATATTTGCTAATAGTTGACAAATGCGTCTTTAAATGAAATGCTGCGATTTACACTGCATATATGGGGAAGCGAAATCAACACCTATACAACCATTGCTGACTAGACACCGTTAAAAACTGAATCTAAGTCAAATCAAAATTTAAGAATTCACCCGAAAAATTTTATCAAGAAAACTTTTATGAGTTTCTTGGAGTAACTGTTGTGCAACTGTATTGAAGTAATATTTTGAAATGGATGATAAAGGCTGCAGCTTTTTAAGTAATCATTTGATGCGGTAATTTTATTTTTTAGTTATCAATCAAATATCATGAAAATTATTGCCATTTAAATATATTTGATGGTTAAATGTACCTTGAAACAACCTCGGTTCGCGACGTTGGAATCCTGTTAAACAATGGTCTATAGGATGAAAATTTAATCAGCATCATTCTTTCCGAGTCGCGTCGACGTCATTGGAAGCCTGTTGAAGACTAGTCTAGCATTAAAATTAAATCAACATCATTCATGCCGAGTCGCGTCAATGTCGTTGGAAGCCTGTTGAAAACTAGTCTAGCATTAAAATTTAATCAACATCATTCTTGCCTAGTCGCGTTGATGGATCAACATTGAAATGATGTTATCCTTATCCGTATGACGTTATTTCAACATTGAAAAAAAGACGCTTAAATTCCATTGATAAAAACCTTGGTTTTTAGAATTGAATAGACGTCCTCAATGCAACTTTGAAATCATGCTGATGCATGACCGAATTTCATCCCCCACGAATTATCTATCGGTCACATGACATGAACATCATGTTATGTTCCTGCCCGGATGCGATAAAACCTGTTCTATGAGTACAATTGTGCGCGCTGCGTATCTGCGTAAGTTGGAATGACGTCGCATAACTTCTACATCCGGGTTTTTGAACACCGTGGCAGGAGCGGGTCGCATGCCGAAGACCCCACTGTAATGGACCGTCATGATTCTTGCCTTCCGGAACGTAGCCTTCAACACTTCTGGACAATCATGTCGAGGCCGTGCGTCGAACCAGCCCTCGGTCGAACGGCCACTCGTCGACGGACGATAAATTTGGAACTGAACTATGCTATCCGAAACCTAAACTCAGATGCGGTAAATTACGTAATTTAACGATGCCCGAAAGTCATTTGATCCGCGGCTTGGTGGTGCACGGCAGGTTTTATGCAAGGCCGGAGGAGGACAAAGCCGAGTGGTTCACGGCTGATTGGTAAATGTCCGGAGAGATCTGAGCGTTTGATTCAGGTCTTATTGGTGCAAAAAATTGGTGATGCACGGCTGCGCTCCCGCAGGAGCTATCGTCCTAACTTGCCTCTCGCCAAGCCTCCTCATTCTTCCGTGCGCCTCCATGCTCAACAGTGCGACGTGGCTGTATCTGAAAGTGATTTCAGGATACTCGGTTCCCCTTCTGGCTGCTCGGCCTTCAGAATTTTGGAGTCTCTACATATCTTCAAACGAAAACCGTGCCCAAGTAATGCGTTTAGTTCATATAATCTGGAACTAGGGAATCGCTAGGCTTTTCTGTTTGAGTGTTTTTTCTAAAGTTTTATTCTTCTCGTGACCACTAGGACTAAGTTGTTCCAATCGAGTCCTGTTTTTCGAAATAATGTTTGACCTTGCTTAGGTTTTATGTCTGTCTTAGAATTTTGACTTACAAAACGATTTTATTCATTTTTAGTTTATCGGACTGATGATGGAGCTGGACTCCGAAACGTTTTCAATATCGATATGGTGAATTTGCTTGGCGTTTTCCCTGCTTTTAAATTCCTTATGAGCATCATATTACATTAGTTATGAGAAAGGGAATAGCTTGCGGCTTTAAGCAATCTCGCCACATATTTTTAACTGATTATAAGCCACTGTGTTCAACTGTTTGGGGCCAGCATTGTTTTTTCAGTGCGCCAAATATTAACTAGTTAATAATACATGATATTTCGAAGATATTGATTGCACTGACACACTGCGTGACTCTTAGAGAAATGCCTCAATTGCAAAAGTTTTTGTATTCATTAATGAAGTAGACTGTAAATTGACTCGTAATTTTTATTGAAGAATCAAGAAAACGGTCTATTGAATCAACAAAAAAAATTGACGCTTAGCGGTTCATGTAACTAAAAATGATCAGCAGGCAATTCAAACTACAGTTAATTGACGGAATTTCACACTATATGGTAAACATTTTTTCGCATAATATGCTTGCAAGAAAATTAACTGGAATTTTCAAATTTGCAATCAAATTTCGTTTTCATGGAGCATCGGAACCTATAGCTCAAATTCTAGCCCGAAACTGCTAGATTCCGGATCTATATATAACTAGATTTTTTGACAGAGATTTCGCAGACTGATACTAGGAGGCATCAACAACTATAACACACGCTGCATCTCCAGAAGTTGTTCATCGAATGCTGTCAGAGTGAACGGCGAAATGATCCTTATTATGAAGAAAAATTTATCCACGGAAACCAAATTTAAATGACCTGCCAGTTATTGATTATGATCTCAAAATAATAGAAATTTAATTGAGAAATTGTTAATTTTCTAATTCCTCTTCTGATTAATCTATGCTGAATTTTTGAATTCACCAATTGTACCAATTTCATGGCAAATTTCTCTAATTTGTACCTTCAAATATTGAGAAACTACCTAAATATTCCATGAGCGTTAACGCCTTACGATATAACGTTTCTAGATCTATATCGTTATAACCTGGTCTTAAAATGCTTAAAATTTCATCGCCGGTACACCTCTATATTTATAATTTTAGGTTGTCGGGGCCCATTTGATAAATAAGTAAATGTGAAAAGAAAGCCGTCTGTGGCCCCAGACATTTACGTATGATTTGATGGTAAGCTTAATTGCGAACAGAAAAAGATGAATAAAACTGCATCAAGGAGCAAAAAATCAATTGAAATAGCCTAACCTCAGGTAACGACGTACCAATATTTTAAAACCGTGTTCATTTAGCCGCCTATTTCTTAAACTTTCCATCGTGAAACAAGCTAAGTCCTTGTTTCGGAGCCTTTCTCTGTCGTAGAATCGTAAATCAGAATAAAAAACTATAGTAGATTCCTACGCAAGGTCACGTCAGTGTTGATTTAAGTGAGAAATTACTAACCTAAAGTCTCATGCAGTGTAACTTACGTCTTACCCTAACTAGGTATTATTTGAATATAATTTATTCTTAAATTTATTCCTCTGTTAAATTTAGGATGCCTTCCTTATTTATCCATTTGAATTTGCTAATGAAAGCGTCTACACTTCGGGTAATTTTTATTTATATTATTTTTAGGTATGTTACACGTCGAATAAATCTTTACACGTCGAATAAATCTGTATAGTATTAATTTGCTATTTGTTACCCCTATTTTTAATTATCACTTCTTTCAAGTAGAAAATATGATATAGCAGCTAAGTTAACGCCAAATTCCATCATACAGTTCCAGAGCGCCAGGAATGCCTTCATCCGTTAATTAGCAGGTGACGCCGCGGCTGGGAGCCTCTCAACGCCAGCCTGGGGCGGGGTCCCCACAATGCGGTCGCTGGAGCAGCCGCGCGACACTGACCTGATGGAGTTGTCTGGCAGGCCGAGCTCGTCCATCTACCGTGGAAATTTCAGACGTCAAATCACAATGCCAATCAAATCTTAGTATGAATGAAAGGAACTTCATCTTGGTTTTGCATTCGTACCGAAGTATTTTTATTATAATCGATTATTCTCGCAAATGCACACGAACAATGCTCACAAGTAAATATACTTGAATTATAGAGTGTTTTCATGACTCATTGACTTTATACCTTTCGACTAAACAATGCATTATTGCTTATTCGTATCTTTGAATAGCCTCCTCATTTACGATGGTGTGTTTTCTGTGTTTTACATAAATTATTACAAAATACCAGACGTGCTTGCATTCCGAATATCCTTTTAAAAACAACAAAGGACAGAACTTGAACACTTCTTTTCATGACACATTTTAAACAAAACTACCGACTATATGTATATCAAAGGCCTACGCCACTGCAAACTGTATTGCTAGTTTTATCAAATTAATATTGCATCTTGAGGAACTTCCCCTATAATGTGCACCAAGAACGCTTATCATCCCAGAGACTGAGAAGAAAGATCATTAGCACGCTAAAATTAAGGCGATCATTCTTTCGGTAGTGATGTAATGGGAAATCAGCATAAAATTTTATTCTGATCTTCGAAGCAGCGTGCCTCTCATTGTCCCTACTGTCCTAATTATTGAAGACAAATAATGACTGACACGACACTCGCAACATACTCAACGAATAAAATATCTAACATATTTTACAACCAGAGACCGAAACTCAAGAATGGGACGTGTAGCATCGAAAAGAACTTGTAAACGATGGTGACTTCAGACGATTGACACTGAACCACAGGAATAAATAATAACGACATTTTAGTACCACTGTAGCGCAGTTGCGAGCGTAGTGGTAGCAGCACCGAGCTGAGATAGCTACAGCGGTGGATTCTAGCCCTTGCTGATATAAGATCAGTTTATTTCTCAGTGTCGCTGATGAGCGGTACTTGGTTGCCGTTAAAGGTGGTGCAACCAGCTTGGCCTTGGGTTGGTGTCCTTAATAAACGAGCTCTGGTTACTTGTTACCTAGGAGGATCTTGAGGCCCTTGTTGTGTCCACTCTTCCTTTGTGACACCGCACCACTTCCACTGTAGTTAATTGACAAGTAGTCTGTTCATGGTGGGATGTATATTGTTCCTATTGTAATGTGTTTTTGTTGAGATAGTAAGCGCGTTTGTATGAAAATCGGCTTTGTTGCAGCCACTAATCTTGTAACTTAATATCTTGAATAAAATGGTGCGGTCAGTGATGGAGTAGACGCTCAAAAGTATGATGTTGGAGTCAATGTTGTAAATGTTTGCTGGTGTAAATTTTTGCAGTGCCTATGGCGGAATGTGTTGCCGTGTTTTCAGTGGGGACTGAGGGATCATTGTGCCGAGATATATATTGATGTATATATGGTTTCCTCATTTTAGTAGTTGTTATTATGGCAGTGTGTCTGTCCATGGCTGAGAAGGTTTTGTGAGGCATGTTGATTGTGAGCTTTTTTCAATTGGGTATGAGTCCAATTCTATTATGAGTTTAATTCTTTTACCGCGATTTACTCTCAGTAGTAATTCTTTCTGAGTTCGCAAACATACCAGATGAAATGATGGGCTTCAGGGACGGTTCGGGGTCAGTGTAACTTCCAAATTGTTTTGTTGATAAGGAATAGTCAGTGCCTGGAACTGAGGTCTGACTATCAAAAATAGACACGATCTAGCAACTCAGTCAGCCAATCCCTGACGCATTTTCCAACGAAAACCACCAAACACAGATGAAAAATCGGCTGTAAGGCGTACTACGGTCACTACGACTATACTTAATCTAGTTTTGATGGTACGGCCCTCGGTATGAAGTATTCTTTTAATGTTCCTCTTCAATTTTTCATTGCTTGTTGTCGCTTTCGATGAATCATGGATATGCCTCGGGTCTTCTGAGGTCGCGATTGTCTATGACTTAGGTTTTAGGCCAAAAGTATGTGTTCGGAGCCTTGGTTTGGGGTCTTGAGCGTTCAGAAGGGATTAATGGTTGATAAGGCGACTTCGCTAATAATGAGAGAGGGAGGCGTGATCTTAAAGATGAACTCATGCAAGGTCGTAGTGTATGGTTAGTCGTGGAGGCGTTTTAGCCCTCTGGGACAAGCCTGTCGGGTTAGGAGCATGGGAGTACCATAGAGCACTCCCATGTATGCACGCCACATAATTCCGAGGGACAGACGGATATCCCCATGAGAAAACGAGCGAGCTTGAACAACCAGATAACGGCCGCCTCCAGTAATGTAGAGAGACGGAGGCTAGAACATCTAAAGGATAAAATTAAAGAAACTGAACGACAGTTGCAGGACTCACACGAGGCCGAGCAACAAATTGCAGAGGCGCAAGCGGTGTCTGCCATTCGAGAGAATCCCAAATATTTCTACAAATATGCCCGGTCAAAGGCCAAAATCAGAGCCTCAGTGGGGCCTCTAAAAAATAACGATGTCCTTATTGGAGACGACCAGGGCATGTGCGAATTTCTGGGAGCTCAGCTCAATTTGAAAAAGTATTCAGGGTACCCCGATACTCTCAAGACAGGAGAATGAAATTGGAGTCATTCAAGAACTTCCAGAGGGGCGGGAGCTGATGAACATTGAGTTTGAAACACCGGATCTAGAGAGGGGTATCCAAGAATTATCTACGTATTCGGCTCCTGGGCCAGATGGGTTCCCTTCAGTATTACTGAAAAAATGTGTCGTTTCATTAAAGGCCCCTCTGACTTTGCTCTGGAAAGCATCATTGAGAGAAGGAAATGTTCCAAGTGACCTAAAATTAGGGCTAACTACCCCTAGCTACAAAGGAGGTGCAAGAGACAAACCCCAAAATTACAGGCCGGTTACATTAACATCACACGTAATCAAAGTATTTGAGGAGGTTGTTGCCAGAAGGTTGGTGCAGTACATGGAAGACGCTGACCTTTTCAGCAGAAGGCAACACGGTTTCAGACTAAATCGTTCCTGTTTGTCTCAGTTACTGGAGCACCACCCCCAAATCCTGGCCATGCTGGAGGAGGGGGCCGGGGTGGACGTGGTGTATTTGGACTACGCGAAAGCGTTTGACAAAGTTGACCATGGAGTGCTCTTCAGAAAATTAAGACTGCTGGGAGTCGGAGGTGAACTGCTGGCATGGATCAACAGTTTCCTAACAGAAAGACTACAAGCTGTCGTTGTAGGAGGCTCGAGATCGAGCGAGGCTAGGGTGAAGAGTGGAGTACCACAGGGAACGGTACTCGGCCCAATCCTCTTCCTCATTCACATCTCCGACATAGATGTAGCTGTGAACCACGCCACTGCATCGTCATTCGCTGACGACACCGGGATATTAATGACCATAACGGACAGGAGGGACTACGAGAGGTTGCAAGAAGACCTCTGCAATATATGACTGGGCCTAAGTGAACAACATGCAGTTCAACGGGACCAAGTTTGAGGTACTGAGAAACAGAGGTAGCGGAAGAGCTGGTATGGAGCACCGCTACCTAGCACCTGACAACTCAGTAATCGAAGAGAAGCGACTTGTTCGTGATCTAGGAGTGTTGATGAATACTCAGGTCAATTTTGGTGATCACGTAACGGCAATAACTGCAAGAGGTAGGCGACAGATGAGATGGATCTGGCAGACGTTCAGAACAAGAGAAGCTGAACCGATGATCACACTCTTTAGAGCCCTTGTAATACCAATTCTTGAATACTGCTGCCAGCTCTGGACCCCGTTCACACTCGGCGCAGCGCGGCAACTGGAAGGTGTCCAGTGAACCTTCACTTCCAGGATCGGAGGGATGGAAGAGTTGAAATACTGGGAGAGGTTGAGGCGCCTGGGTCTGTACTCACTGCACAGGAGACAGGAGAGGTATGTCATTCTGTACACATGGGAAATGATAACCGGAATGGTGCCAAACTTCGTGAGCGAGACCTTCAGGATTGAGACATATCACAACGCGAGAAGGGTGAGACTGTGCAAGATCCCCCCACTACGTAAAAGATCCGCTGTCAGATTTCAATCCCTGCGGGAAGGATCACTTTCCGTGGCAGGGCCAAGGCTGTTCAACGTCCTACCAAGGGATCTAAGAGAGGGGGAGTTCCCCCTGGAGGCCTTCAAGAGACAACTGGACGTGTTCCTGGGCACAATCCCAGATCGACCTCTCGTGCAACACTACCAGCGGCGAGAAGCAAGCAACAGCATCGTGCTTCAGGTGGCCCAAATGAGGGCGGATGAACGATAATCAGAGGCGGCGATGCATTGTGGCCTGGGACTGCTACGTCCGAAACAAGTACCAAGATTACCAAGAGGGGGGAGCATACTAATTGTGGTAGGATAGAGAGAGCAAAAAACATAATTACAGTGTATGGCGGAAGTGCGATTTCATGGTGACGCGCACGTACGGTTGGGAAGTTGCTAATTAATCGGGGAACCTGAGAGCATGAGACTGAGAAGCATGAATCACAATCGATTGCCATGTAGGGCTTTCAACCAGACACAAATAGGCTTGCCACTCTGCATGAAGTAAAACTGCTTGACTGTTGGTCGGCGGAAAAGTAGTTGATGGAGTAGATGTCGGTGTGTAGCGTTCGATGGAATGCCTACATAAGTATGGTAGGCGTATGATTAGCCAATTGAGTGGACTGGCTTAGAATGGTGTATGTAAACACCTGATTACTGTAAATGCGGTAGAAATCGTATTCAACGAAAAAGCTGCCGGTCACAGGAGCGTACAAGATCTTGAATGTGAAAATCTCAGAAGGAATATCATTTGTATGAATAACGTTTACTACCATAATTATGATTTGGTCAATTGTTTATCATGCTTTCATCAACGTTTTTAAAGTTTACATTAAAGGTAGAACTTTTGCTTCCACTATCTTGAGCAAAAAACTTGAGCACGGTTCTAGAATAATGGCAGAAATTTAAAATACTGGCGGTGGGCCCATCAGCCTAGCAAGCACATACCTCACAAAAATTTCGTATAGAATTCTAGTCACACATAAAACTGAAGTATTTCTTGGGATATAATTTTCGAATGACATCAGAATGAACAGGAATGAAAATAAGTTCTTACTGAATAAACCTGGGCGTAGTTGAGTACTAGTCCGCCGCCGCTGGCCATTTCGTCAGGGTGAACGCACACGGAAGCGTCGGTGAAATTAACTCCGCTGTTGAAACCAACAATAAATGTGCCTAAGAAAATATGAGAAAGAGTAGAGAAATTATTTTTTCATTTGTGGATGTTTCAAGATTACTGAATTTGCGATTGTATGACATTAATGCAAATTAAATTGCGAGTATTTGAAATAGGTAACTGCACCAGCAATTGGACTGGGCTGAGGACTCGCGTGTAGAACGTCCATCCAGACTGTCCAGTTATAATCAGGGATGAAACGGCCAGATCCAAATTGTCCAAGTATGCAGCATTGATGTTACCTTTGAATTCAGTGCTGTGAAAATAGGTACCCTCGTACAAATTGTAAAAGTTGTCATTCAGTCCGAATTCGCTGCCAGCGTATCTGAGCGATGATGCCTGCGTTAAAAACATTTAACCATTAATATTACTGAAAGACTTTGCATGTAGGGAGGGAAAGTGGGGTGCATTGGGACACGAGGGACATTGGGATACGTTAATCATTTTAATATATTAGAAGTTACAACAAATTTTACGCTGCATCATTCAATGTACTGACTCTAAACTGTTGTTAAATAATAATATTTGATGTATAATAATAATTTACGTAACTCACTGTCCCCATGTCCCATTGAACACTACTTCAATGAATAAATACCGTCACACTTCATGCATAATTCACACACTGTTGTTACACCTCTATCATCAACAATGAAAAAGTTTACGACAATCCCATCACGTCAAGTTAATTTGGCTTGTAAATCTACGTTGACTTGTGCAATTACTCTGGTAATTGAGCTTAAAAATTCAAACGATATTTCCAATTTATTTGACAAAAGAACAAATAGGTACTTCAACGTTTAGAACTCCCAGAACAGGACATAACGTTGAGGGCTTTATACTGCAGATAATTCATGTGTCGCTGGTGAGCGTCACTTGGTTGCCGTTAAAGGTGGTTCAACCACCTTTGTACCACTAATGAGGGTGCAGCTACAAATTGGACACCCAAGCGTCCAGGTTCAACTTGAGTGCAGGAGCAGAAAAACATTTGATAAGTACGTGGCAGTAAAAAAGTAATGCTTGTAGCTTGCAAGAGATAAATCTCAAATTCATATCATGATATACATAACTAAGATCGTGCAGCAGCAGAAAAATACTTGATAAGTACGTGGCAGTAAAAAAGTAATGCTTGTAGCTCCAAGAGATAACTTTCAAATTCATATCATGATATACATAACTAATATGTAAGCTGTTAATTGGCAAAAAAAAAAAAAACAACGGATGAACGTTCGGTTTTGCATTCAGGGCCTACAAGTAATTTATTAAATGTTCAGGTCGCTATGATTTGTGATGAAACTGCTGGATATTATGATGGCAGTGCATTGCCTGATAACAGGCATTGAACAATGTACCTTCGGTTATTCAAATAAGGTCTACAAAAGTTCAATATTTATAGGTGAGTTTCACAATTTTATCATATTGTGGTGCGGTTCGCATAATTCTTTCGGAGAATTATGATCGTTTTATTCAATGGCGGCTACTGGGCGTGAGTGTCATACATAACGTACATAACTCTGCTCAGACACCTAATAACTTTTTTAACGAATTAAAAAAATTTTTGACATTAATTTCAGACAACTTCGATGACAAAACCTGGTCAATGCTTCGCGGTTCTTATTCCTCATAGTTACTTTATCATGTTCGCAAGGCAAAATTTGTTGCTAGCCTCGTTAAGTGTTTAGATATTATTCCTGTTTAACGTGATGCAGCTTGAGAGAGTGAGTAGCGTACAAAACGCTACACCAGTGGTTCCCAAACTTTTTCAGGCTGGCGCCCCCTTTGGCTCCCTAGTGAATTTCTAGCGCCCCCCACAGACATTCGCCTATTTCTTGAAATTTAGTACTCTGCAATTTTAGAAGATAAAGGTTAAACACAAATGTGTATTTCACAAATAGAACCCCATTTAGTGAACCAATATGTTTTTCAGCTGTTTTAAGTGTTTCAGCACTAGAAACCTAGGACGTCTGGAGCAAATTTACGGCCAGACTCGATCGTAGCCGGTCTCACGACCAATCACCAAATTCAATTATCAAGTAATATCCCCCAAAGCAATGAACGCAGCTCTATGAAACTTGGAATATGTATTCATCAAAAGCTAACGGTGATATTTAGCACGTTAAAACTTTTGAAATTTCACCTTCATTCGTGAGTTATATTGCGATACTGGCCGAAATTCGCAGTGATCAAAGAATTTCTTCCAAATTACTGAACAGATTTGAACGAAATTTTTTTGAATATGCATTCCTAACTACCAAACGGTGATTTTTAGTTTCAAAAATTATTTGATTTTACTTTCGTTTGCGAATTTTTTTTCATTTCACCGTGATTCTTGATTTCACACTTCCATATATTCGGCCCGTATCGCCGGGTAATTTGTCGCTTAAATTCGCGGCGATCAAGAAATTTCTTTTCAAACTAATGAACAGATTTCAACGAGACTTTGGATATAAATCCTAACCTCCCAACAATGATGTTTAGCTCGTGACAATTTTTCTATTTTGCTTTACCACTGTTGCTTACGATTGATTCTGCATGCATGTATAATATTTACGAAGGTTATTAAACCATTCTGATTTCTGTTGAATGTCAGTTACTGATAAATTTTTAATATAGAAGAATTCGTATCTTTCATTTTTTCACATGACTATATTAATGTCGGTTTCACATTGGTTGCCGGTGCGGTTGGTATCCCTGCTACGTACCTTCTTTGTTTACGTTTTTCGTTCGGCTGATCGCAACGAAAGGAGATTGTATATCTCAGCTGTGAGCTGATTGCATTGGCGGTCAGTTTTGTATTTGTGGATTGAATCATAGGCAGTTTTTTATGTATTTGTGAGTGAGTGTACATAGTGAAGATGTTATTCTTTGCGATTTTCATCAATAATGACATAACTACACTATTGTATTGCGCTCTTGAAATAAGAATTGTAGCATTACGCATTAAGTTAGCATCAGTGCGTTAATATTGTGTGTATTTGAGGCGGTCCCTTCTAGCTTTCTATTGCTGATTGGATTCCAGTGGCTGTGACGTTGCACACGTTCTGGCGATGATTGGATACCTGTGACAGTACGTTGGACGCGTTCAAGCGTTGATTGGATTCTTGTTACTGTGATGATGCAAGCGCTGTTTTTTTTCAATGAAACAGCTGTGGCATCTTGCAGAGACTTATCAGTGATGATGATGGACTGAAAGTGGAAGTGTACTGGACGTTCCAGATTTTTGGGTCCTGCTTTCCGATTTGCTATGTTTACCAGTTATTATGTTACCCCTCTGGAATTCCACACTGCAGGCTGAGTGAAATCGAAGTATTATGAATTGGGTGATTTTCGAAGAATTACAAATTATTTGAGGATAAATTTCAGAACTTTCCATTGAACATGGCAATGTTAGGAAGTCGCAAGTTCCAACTGGAATTTCGAAGGTATCATTTGATCTATTCTTCTTAACAACCACTGTAGGGAGAATTTTATTGACTCGTGCAAATCAGTTCTATAGACCGTACATCCGAGTGATGTGTCGTAAGATAACGCGTCGTTAGCAAATTACACTATGTGAATGCGCGCTTGTGTCGTCTCACCCTGAATTACATTACCGCGAACAATTAATTACATTTTATGCACTACGTACCTGAGCTACCGTATTGAATATGTTAAAATGGTTATAATTTAGCCCTGTAGATACTAGATACACTAGGCTATTGTTAGCAAATATTATGGGAGAACTTTGAGCATTGATGCAAGGGAAATTCACCCTTTAGGATTTCAGTTACTTAAATTTATTTTTGTGTCGTAAGTTTTACGGCTGTTTGTAGGGTTGGCAGCCATGCTATTTGATGACGTGGCGTTATAGGCCTGAAGCCCAGGTTAGTTCGTCTCATTCGATTGCTGTCACTTGGTCGGAGCGTACCTATATACTGTCACTATTTTCGATTGCACCTGTACGTCCCTTTTAGGTGGGTGTTAGTGCATTTGATACCATTGCTGTGTACTACCATTGCTGTGTATTACCATTGCTGTGTACTACCATTGTTGTGTACCACCATTGCTGTGTACTACCATTACTGCGCGTCTTTGCTGCGTTACCTATCTTGTGCTTAGTTTCGTAGTTGTTTTCAAATTAGCTGTCGCTAGGACCGGTTTCAACCTCTCATTTATTAGTGTTCAATTAGCGTGTTTTGTTCAATAAATTATTGTTTATTATGCTTTCATTTCTCCCTTGTTGAGGATCGGTGGCAGTTTCGGGTTAATTATCGAGTCAATTTGGAGTCGTCCTATACCTGAACGATACAATTGATATACCTGAACTTTACAAGTGTTTTTCGCCGCAGAATGCTTAACAGTTTATGTGAATGTGATTGTTTAGAGATGGCGATTATTAGAGAATGTTAAATAATGGTTAAGGTGAGAGAATCTTTTGTACTGCCGTATTTGGAAAATGTTTGGTACCCGCAATAGGTAGGAATGTTTGGTACGGGTGAATGTGTTAGAATGTTTCGTACATGGATAATGTGGGATAATATTGGGCAGTGTTGAATATTGGAGAATGTTGATCATTGCGTGCTATTGCATATTGGAGAATGCTGATCGTTGAGTGCTATTGCATATTGTAGAATGTTTGGTTTTAAGCAATGTGAGAGAATGCTGGCTGCTGGTGAATATTGAAGATTGCTTTGCTCGGGCAATTTGCGAGGGTCATGCAATTCTGGTTAATATCAGGGAATGTTGTGGGTAATGTGGAAAGTTGTGGTTGAAAGTTGTATTAACTGATATTATTCCCGTTTTAAACACGTGTTTACTTGCCATTTGCTTCATTGTGCCGCGACGATACAAGTCTAATCTGCTCCTATATACCTATATAGCGTACAGCGATTCAACGCATTTTTAAACGCATTGATAGATTCGGCCATGTCTGTCCCGAACGTATCAGGTAACAATTGCGCATGCCCCGCGGTCGCCCCACGGTTGTCAAGGA